ACCTCAGGGGTAGAAATTCAAAATAAATGTGCATAAAAAAAAGTTTTCTTAAAAAAAATAGAGCGTAACTTCAAAAGTAGTCTACGAGTAAGGTTACGGTGGATCTAATCTGAGGGCAGTGTTTCCCCACCGTTTTAAGCAACGGCACACGAGACATATATATATATATATATATATATATATATATATATATATATATATATGTTACAAAGAATTAATCATACCTTGAATCAATTAGGAATATTAATGCAATCATTGCTAATTGATTCAAGGTATGATTAACTCTTTAATATAAAATATATGCTGCCTATTTTATTATGTTCATATATATATATATATATATATATATATATATATATATATATATATATATATTTTTCCAGAAACTGTAACTAAGGTCTATTTAAATTGAAGATATTAGTTCCATTTCATCCTCAAGATGAAATGGAACTAATGTCTTTAATTTAATTGCAAAATTAAATTCGTGGCTTTTAGCTTCCATTTTTGAAACATGGTTAGAACTGTGTAGCGAAAAAACATATTTTAAATCAATTAATTTATAATATATATATATATATATATATATATATTAATTTATATGAGCAGTTTTTAGTGGAAAGCGCTGAATATCAGTGATATAGCTAACATATTCAGTTGTATGGATATGAGTTTGTGACCCTGGGTTTCACACTTTTGCGATCATCAGACAAACTGGTCTATTTTTTTAAGAATTGAATCTATTTATGCATATTTGTGTTTGATTATGTTTGGTTGTGGGAGGGGAAATTCTCTTCTGAGTCCGTTTAGGAGAACACTCTCACACACATATATACATGTGTACGCATTTTAGTTCACACAAACACACCAATATTGCTCGGACTAAAATATTCACACAAACTCACCCTTACTTGTTGTTGCGTCTTCCCTCTCCTGAGTCTATTATGGACTCTTCCACTTAGTATAAACTAGTATGAAAAGTAAGCCTTGGTGGAGGGAACAGCTACGCACTTATTGTACGAGAATGGCATCAAGCAATTAGAAACCTAATGACGCCCGTGCGATTGTCTGGAGTCAAATATAGCTTGCACCATAATACGTGAAACCTCGGTAGAAAGCAGCCTTAATCAAACGATAAGAATTAAAATAATCCGAGACAGCCTTAATCCAATGAGGAGGAGAAAAATAATCTGACTGACTTAATCCAATGATAAGAATCAAAATAATCTGAGAGAGGCTTAATCCAATGATAAGAATCCAAATAATCTGAGACAGCCTTAATCAAACGATAAGAATTAAAATAATCGGAGACAGCTTTAATCCAATGATATGAATCAAAATAATCTAACTTAATCCAATGATAACAATCAAAATAATCTGACACAGCCTTAATCCAATCATTAGAATCAAAATAATCCGAGACAGCCTTAATCCAACGATAAAAATCAAAATAATCCGACACAGCCTTAATCCAATGGTAAGAATCAAAATAATCTGAGACTGCCTTAATTCAATCATATTAATCAAAATAATCCGAGACAGCCCATGCCCAAATATAATCAAGCCTCTCGGTGTTTGAAATTGAGCAGTGGGGTTGTTGATCTTAACATGGGCAGTACCTCATTCTCTTAACCCTAATTTCTGTATTGTATATTCTTTGTATGAAAACAACAAGGCAGTTAACCATAACTAATTGAACTGATTTTGTCAAACGCTGTGTATTGTTTTCTAAAATCTCAAAACGATTGTCAGTTAAGAAATCTTTAAAGGGGTTTCGTTCGGATAATTGAAAAAAAATGTTTCGATATTTCATTTCACCTCCGGATAATAGAAATCCAGGAAATCGTTTAAATAGTGTATTGCAAAAGAAGTAGCTGTCTCAGTAGAATTTCCTTCTTGACAATGGAATATAAATGAGGAATGCGGATGAGTCAACTCCGTGCATGTGGACTGGCGGGTCTTAGCTGTGAAAGTTTAGAATTTATTTCGCCCGAACATCTGCCATAAAAACGGTGATTGATTAATGAGGGCTAGCAATGTTTCGTCCGTGAGAAAGTGGTTGAAGTGCGAAAAACAATCCATCACTCACAAGGCTGCGCAAACTTTGTCTGGATGGAAAATGGGGATTAGCCAGCACCAACTCAAATGTGGCAACAATATAACCATTTTTGGCCTTACTGTTGAAGAGATAAATCATGACTAGTCAATTACTCTCTGGAATGGTACACAGAACCGACCATTATTCCGGCGTCTATAGAATTTCCACACGAGATCTGGTGTTAGTTTGAGACCCAATAGTCCCAAAGTATCAAACATAATCACTGTATTTGTGCCATGTACATTTGAGAGTTCAGCCAGGCATAATCTGTGGGCGTCTTGGGTATGACGATAAACTACATCTGCGTCCTGGGTAAGACGATAAACTACATCCAGCAGCAAGACCTCTGATCAGGAGGTTTTGAGGAGTGTAGAACCACCTCTTAATTGCTAATGTTCTCAGGTCCACCCTGACCTACGGTGGTAGCACCTGTTAGGGTCCCAACTATGGGCAAATAGTTAACCATCAAACTAGGGTCAAAGCACTGAAAGTAAAAATAGGTTTTAATACCAGCAATGAATTCTTTGAGGAAAAAATTATTATCAGCAATACATTTTTGTAAATAATTACCAGCATACATTTTGGGAAAAAATATTACCAGTAATGCGTTTTTAAAGAAAAGGAAAACGTATTACCAGCAACAGATTTTTGAACAAAAATATTAGCAGCAGTAAACATCTTGTCGGCATTAATTAACCCATTGAGGTTTATAAATCAAACCAAAACATAATCTGTGGCGTGTTCAAGCCTTGTTAATTGAAATGTGAATTCTTTGTATGAAAATAGTGATAACATTAACAAGAATTACCGTATGTAATTACGCGTATCATGCCACTTTTGAAGACCTAATTTTGAAGGTAATTTTAAGAGGGTAGTATCATATACGAGATATAAAATTACCGTATGTACTGATGGTCGTTGACCAAACTACATATCTATTTACTGTAGTCAAATTAACTTCAAATTTGGGTCTTCAAAGAGCGCACAATACACGAGTATATACGGAAATTAAACTGAGTTTATCAACGTTTATATGAACGTTTTTATGAAACTTTGTGTATTGTTTTCTAAATTTTCAAAACGCTTGTTCGATACGAAATATTAGAACGGAGTTTTCGCTTCATTCCACATCTGGGTAAGTCCAAAAATTCGAGTTGCGGACAACCGAAAACGTACTGCATTTCCCTAGATTGTAATCCCTTTAACAAATTAAAAATGATAGAACCTAACTCGTTTCATTTATAAAACCGCAGACTGATAATCTCGCCATACGAAGCTAATGGATTTTAAGTTCTTATAAAAACCCATCTGATGTTTGTCGGTCAGGCGTAATAGAGGTAAGTCTATATTCAAATTTTCGATTATCACTAGGGATATAAAATATATGCCTAGAGACACTGGGGTACATACTTAGGGAATTCTGATTTAATAGCTTTTGTGATCTACCATTGTCGAATTGGTTTTATTTGGTTGTATGGTTGGCGTTCCATACTTCATGAATCGATAGAGGCCAAAATAGCGATGGGAGGGAAGCAATTCCCGATGATTGAGTATGTACAGTTTTATCTGAACGGGATATTCTCCCGGCATTAAGAGTCCGTTGCTCCAAACATCTTCTGATCACAAGCGAGGATCTGCTGCGGTCGATAAAGAACAAAGGGCTAGTTTTTATCATAGACAGTAAAGAAAGAATGAAAGAGATGAAGAAAGTGATAGAGAAAGAAAGACAAATGAAAGCATAAATAGGACGAGAAAAAGAAAACTATAATCGTTTAGAAAGATAGAAAGCATAACTAGAAAGAGAAAAAGAAAGGATGATTATTTTAGAAAGAAAGAAAAAAGAAAGAAAAAAGAGAGGAAGAAAGAAAGAAAGAAGTGAAAAAGGGAGAAAGACAGAAAGTATAATTCGGACGAGAAAAAGAAAGGCAGAATTTTTTAGAAGGAAAGAAAGTGAGAGAGAGAAAAAAGACAGGAAGCATAACTAAGACGAAAAAAAGAAAAGCAGAATCATTTAGAAAGAAAGAAAGAAAGAAAGAAAGAAAGAAAGAAAGAAAGAAAGCATAACTAGGATGGAGAAAGAAAGGCAGAATCTTTTAGAGAGATAGAAAATGAGAACGAGAAAAAGAAAGCATGTATTACTAAGACGGGAAAATAAAAGCAGAATGTTTTACAAAGAAAGAAAGAAAGAAAGAAAGAAAGAAAGAAAGAAAGAAAGAAAGAAAGAAAGAGAGAAAAAAGAAAGAAAGCATAGCTATGACTATAAAATCATAATCTTTTAGAAACGAAGATAGAAACAAAGAAAGCATAACTAGAACAAGAAAAATAAAGAATGATTATTTTCGAAATAAAGAAAGAAAATGAATAATTGAGAAAACATAACTCAAACGAAAAAAAGAAAGGCAGAATCTTTGAGAAGGAAAGAAAGTGAGAAAGTGAAAAAGAAAGAAAGAATCACTAAGACGACGAAAAGAAGAGCAGAATCTGTTTGAAAGAAAGAAAGAATAAAGGAAAGAAAACGAGAAAAGAAAGGCAGAATATCTTAGAAAGAAAGAAGGAAAGAAAGAAAAATAAATAAAGATAGAAAGCAGAATTAGAACGAGAAAAAGAAAGTCAAAAGAAAAAAAGTAAGAAAGAAAGAAAGCATAACTAGAACGAAAACAAGAAAGGCGGATTTTTTCAATAAGAAATGCTGAATCGTTTCGAAAGAAAGAAAGAAAAAAAAGAAAGAAATCATAACTTGGATGAAAAAAAGAAAGACAAAATCTTTAAGAAAGAAAGAAAGAAAGTGAGAGAGAGGGATTAAAATTTAGAAAAAATGAAAGCACAAATAGGAAGGTGAAAAAGAAACGTTTAATCTCTTAGAAAGAAATAATGATAGAGAAAGAGAAAGAAAGGAAAATGGCATAGAATAGAGAGAAAAAGGATAAACATAATCCCAACCAATAAGCAATGACCGAATTCTGATACCAATAGTTTGAATTAACCTTTCGTCTTGTAAAATCTGTAAATGCTAAAAATGTATGTCGTCAATGTATGATTCCCTTAATTTAGTACTAGCTCAACCCTTTTCAATTAGTGAGATATCTACGAAGCTCATGAATTATGGCCTTCTCAGAGTTTAAACAACAATCGCACAGACACAATATTTAGGGTGGCTACTGGATCGCTCCGTTAAACGAAAATTGATGCCAAAGATGGTTTGAATGCTTAAGTGTAAACGTTAGGCGATGACCCAGAAAGAGATCAACCCATTGAGTCTAACGATGACCTGCAGCAATCTGAACTCGACATAAATATTGACTTTAAATGTTGATGGATTAGCTGACAAAAAAGATGGATTCAAGCCAATTAATAGCTGCCTTCGAAAGGCATCTCAACGTGGAAAATGAGCTTAAACACCCAACAATCATCCCCAATGTTTTGAAGGAATTCAGCAACAATGCAAGAGTACGTATCTGCAATTCGTGCCACTCTCTTAGAAATGGCGGCACGCATGTGAAGGCTTAAGTTAAAGACGAACGAGTGAAATGTTTCTGAACTTCAACTGAAACTTTATAGAATTACATGATTTGATCGATTCGTTTTCTAAGGTTTCTCAATCTCTTGCACGTTATTTAAAACGAGGGATAATTTTTTGAACCAGTACAAGGCCTGGAGGCATTCGATGTAGAGGCTTACAGAAATGAAGAGATGATTTAAAATATTTTTCTAAGGTCGTTCTGCAAATGTGACGGTAAAGAATTCGGCCAGATCGATTTATTCCGAGTTGCTACACGCAAAATGGCAGTACTTTAGAGCTAGTTGATAAATGTTGAGTTTGGTAATAGCAGCAGACAGTACTCGACTGTAATGAAAGTTGAGTCTGACAAAGCAAGGCTATTCTGTAAGTTCTGATTCGCTGATCATTTCAGTGTTGATATTTTGCTCAATAAATATCCAGCACAATATCCACCGTGACATTATCCAACAGAAGGACATGTATTGAGTTACAACCCTGTTTATTTTTGTCAGCCTACTGGACGCTAGTTGGAAATCTCCTTGCGAAGGTGAGTCTCACACTCTTGATTGTTCACCTCCACCCAGCATCGCGCGAGAGTAATGACCTTTGAGGGGAGATGAGTTCTTTGTGGCCTGGCTGATTGTATGGGAGTAGTCTGGACAATGCTTGGACGACTTTTTGTGGCTGGGCGACGATGGGTTATGTCTCGTTTTCTTGGGACATGCGTATTGGGCACAAGGGATGGGAGTAGGGATTGCATGTGTTTGAAGCTTCTTGAGAAATCGTCGCATCCGCAAGTTGATCCTGACCAATCCATCCATCCTGATTCGGTATTGAAGTTTAGGTAGTGTCTCGACAACTCTACCTGTTGTGTTCCATGGGCCGCACGCTTTACCTTTCTATCAGGTGGACATTACGTTGAGACTGGGTTTTCATACGATTTTGAGCTACAGCTATCCTGTTCGTAGCGCCATGAAGAGTTTGATATCAGCAGATGACAGTACTCGACTGTAATGTAGGTTCTGATTGACTGATGATTCCAGTGTGGATATTGTGATCAATAAATATCCAGCACAATATCCACCCTGTGACTTTATTCAAGAGAGGGGCATGTATTAACCCTGTTTATTTTTGTCAGCCAACTGGACGCTAGTTGGAAACCTCCTTGCGAAGGCGAGTCTCACCACTTGATAGTTCGGGTAAAGTTTTTTTTTATTTTTTTATTTTTACGGTGAGATTCACCCAGTAAAAGGCTTGGCAGCTAATCGAGATAGAGGGTTAAAGAGTCAAAGACACATTTCATGCAGATAAATGGAAAAGATAAATGTTAACCCTAGACATGCACAGGTTAACATTGTTGATTGTTGAATCATACTCTTGGGAATCGGTTCCATAGAGCAATGGTTCGCGGAAAGAAGCTACACGATTGGTACTTCTCACCAATCAATCAGGAAGGGAATGAGAGCGGGGTCTGTTAAAATGTGAATGGCACGGCGGGTCCTAGCCGTGAAGGTTACAACTGGCAGAACCAAGGAATGCAGTTCGTCCGTGACCATTCCATAGAAGTAGCGATAGAGCAGAAAGAGGCTTGCCACATACCGCCTGGGAGAGACGGGTTCCTAGGGTGGAAAATAATTTGTCGTCAACAAAAACGCGGAGATGCTTTAAGACTCTATCGAGGCTGGAAGATGAGAACTGTGCAGCTCCCGCCCAAATATCACAACAGCACTCCATTTTTAATTTAATCTGGATCTTGTAAAAGTAGAGGATATCAGGAAGAGTAAGGTACGTGCTGGAGAGCTACAGGGTACCCAAAACATTTCTCCTGCATCTTTAGCGATAGATCGTATGTACAAGATTCAGTTATGGTCTGGCTTGAGTTTAAGGCCTAATATTCCTTCAAGTCACTGAGTTTATCCGAAAGGTCACCCATTCATAGTGACAAGTGTTAGTACGGGTTAATAATAGTTTCGTGATACAAATCTTGATAATTAACCTATAGTAGGGGGAGAAAAGGTGGATCCATACCTTTCCCAAGTATATTTGCGGAAGAAAGTGAATATGGCGAACTCAACTGGAATTGGAACTCGTCTCACCGATTGGTTGTAGTCCTCACCAGACCTGATACCTTTTGACCAGACCTCATATTCAATATGCGGTTTGTCTGGAGTCAAATATAGAATGCACCATAAGATGTGTACCATCGGTAAAAGACAGCCTTAATCCAATGATAACAATCGAAATAATCTGAGACACACTCAATCCAACGATAAGAAACAAAATAACAGCTGAGAAACGATAAGAAACAAAATAATCTGAGAGAGGCTTAATCCAATAATAACAATCAAAATATTCCGACACAGCTTTATTCCAACGATAAAAATCAAAATAATCCGAAACAGACTTATCCAACGATAAAGATCAAAATAATCCGAGACACCTTTAATCCAGTGATCAGAATCAAAATAATCCGAGACTCTTAATCCAATGATAACAATCAAAATAAACTGAAACCACCTTAATCCAATAATAAGAATCAAAATAATCCGAGACAGCCTTAATCCAATGATAAGAATCAAAATAATCCGAGACAGCCTTAATCCAATGATAAGAATCAAAATGATCCTAAACAGCCTTAATCCAATGATAAGAATCAAAATAATCAGAGACAGCCTTAATCCAATGGTAGTAAACAAAATAATCCTAGACAGCCTTAATCTAATGATAAGAATCAAAATAATCTGAGATCGCCTTAATCCAATGATAAGCAACAAAATAATCCGAGACTCATTTATCCAATGCTATGAATCAAAATAAACGTTAATCCAATGATAAAAATCGAAATATTCCGAGACACCCCATGCCGTGTACAGAATAATGTAGTCCAAAGATTAGAAACTGGATTAAGTAGAAGATATAATTTTATGACATCTGCCATTGCTTACAATATCAACCAGAACCAAGCTCTGTATCATTTAAGTGCTGACTATGCTTGACCCTGCTTAACATCAGCAAACGAACAGGAACCGACCACTCGATCTCCAAGTGTCCTCTTGTATTGGGCTCTTGATGAAACTAAAAATCATAAAGATATCAAAACGGAGGAAATTTATTTTCAGATTTAATCCGGTTCCTTTGAACTAATTTTAATCAATTCAAATTATTTGCGCCTCTCTAGTTGGAGGACATTAAATTCATTGAGAGCCACATTTAAGGGGTCCTAATTAGATTTTAACGCATCTTTTTTTATATACATATAGATATAGACTTTTGATGTACCCTTTTTACTTTGCGCAACTTTGACTTAATTTTACACTGCCTTCAACACGAACACAGCTGGTCAGCCAGTCGGTACTACTAAACACGCCAAAGCTTATTGTGGGCCCCAGTGCTTTGTAAACCTTGTTTTCTTAGCAACATTTTCTTTTCTCTACCTACATTTATATACGTTACAAAGTAAAGTAAGCAGTATCGTCTACTAAAGGATGAAAAATTTTCGCAGATGTTGATTTCATTCTGGTGTCTTTTGGGATGAAGAAAAAGTGAGTAACTAACATATAATTATTCGAACCATGAGGCACTTCCGTATAATTATACTTCGCATGAATTTTAGCTCTATTATTATTCATCGAGCACCCTTTTATTATTACCACCACCACCACTCACCGTGTTGTATTTCATATTTATACTATACACACACACATATAGATATATATATTTGAGTTAACGATATATATATATATATATATATATATATATATATATATATATATATATATAAAAATATAGGTATATAGATATCTATCTACCAATCTCTCGGTCTCTCTCTCTCACTCAGTATATATATATATATATATATATATATATATATATATATATATATGTGTGTGTGTGTGTGTGTGTCCCAGGTGTGTGTTTGTGTTCAGTTATATGGATATAAAATTCATATCCATACAACTGAATCACAGATATCAAGGACTTCCACGAAGTACTGCGCATATATGTATACACACACACACACACACACACACACACACACACACACACACACACACATATATATATATATATATATATATATATATATATATATCTACCTATAAATTATATATGTATGTGTGTGTAAATATATATGTATATATATGCATATATATATGTGTGTATATATATATATATATATATGCATATACATATATATATACACACATACATGCATATTTATGCATATATATACAAACATATACATGTATATATATACACATATACATTCATATATATATATATATATATACACATATACATGTATATATATATATACATGTATACATGCATATGTATATGCATATATGTATATACATATATATATGTGAAAAGTGTATATAAATATAAATAAATATATATATATG